ACACCTTCCATCAAGACCAAAAATTTTAAGATTGCATACATTTTTTGCCGGATTTGATTCGCAGACGCATATTTCTTTTGTTTGATCCAAGAATGTTAGTCCACAGGGGTATGTTACGTTTTCTGTAAATATGCAATCAAATTTGCCATCTCTGTATTTTTCTATCCTGCATTTTTGGCGTTTCCCTAAAAAAAAGTTAAAATAAAACCTTTAAAAATATTTTTTTTTTCGCTGCAAGAGATATTTTGCCGTTATTTCAAGATATGACGAAGCCATAGAATTTATATCTGCCCTTAAATGTAAAAAAACATTATATTAAAAAATGATTATAAATTTTGAAATAAAAACAATTTTTCACTTTTTCAGCTCTGAAAGAAAAATATTATAAATCAATATCTTCTTGAACCCATTAAACGCGTAAATTACATGAAATTTGTTTTTCATTTTGACTTTGAAATAACATATAGTTGTAGGTTTAATTGATGAATGGAAGTAAAATGTCGATGCATTATAATGATAAAAAACTGCTGTTACTGATGAACATGTACATATTCGATTGAAGGAAAATTGATGCTAAAAAGGACGTTCTATACATTGCAGAAATGTCTATTCTTAGACAATTTAATAAGGAATAAAAAAAAGTACCTCTGTGGCATGTGACAAGAGTAAATTCCCGATTTTGCCAAGGAACTCCAACGACATCAAACGGCTTCACTACTTCGTTGATAGCAGGTTTATCCCATTTTAAAGTGTCAAAAACGTATATTTTGTCGTTTTTGAAACTCACGGCGAATAGCTTGTTCGATAAAAATACGGCTCCTGTTAAAAGATTTCAGTTAATTGATTAGACAAAAAAAGTAATATGAATTTTTCGAAGTTGATAAATTTTTAATTTTGTCTTCGACTATCTAATCAAAGATATTTTTTCATCTTTGATGCATTCTCAGAAAAAAATCGTGATAACAGTTATGATGTATTCAAATCAATCGAGCAGTAATTTAAAAAATTAGAGCAAAGTTTCTTGCTGCAACAACATGCACATCTTCTGTCCAATTCAGCAAAAATAAAAAAAATAAAAATAAAATAAATGTTGTTTCTTGAAAAGTTGTTTATGTTTTCTATGATATATATATATGAAAAAGTGAAAAAAAGTATGTATTGAACAGTGTTCTGAAAAGCATTAGATAACTTATGATTTGAAATGAATTCAGACAGTTTTCTCATTCGATTGCAATTTTTTTTAATAAAGAAAAGCAAAAGCCACTGAAAATAATATCCAGTTGACCAGAAGTGGTGTCGATCGACAAAGAATAAGATTGGACGTCTCCAGTGACTCATTGTTCTTTTTTCTAAATTTTGCCATTACTTTTAGAAAAAAAATCCTCTCTGACTACCTCTGGTATAACCGGAAGTAAGGGCGATTGATAAAAAATAAGTTTTTACTGTTCCGCTTACTTATTTCAATCAATGACCTGTGAAAACTGAAACAAATATGCATTTTCTGGTTACTTCTAAATGTAATAACTGGCATGAAAACGTTTTGCACTTTTCACCAATATGAAATGCATTACATTTATCTACAGATACTGATCTACCATATCGATTAGTGTCATGTTTCTATCTAAACAGTCGTTAATGAGAAAATTTGTGGACATGCCAAATCTTTAAAAGTCGATAATATCCGTTTTATATATGAGTTTCATTTTTCCTTGCTCAGTGGTTCTGGAGAAGAAGATTTTTAAAGATTTTTTCAATATAATCCTATGTAAAATTTTGATCAGCCATTGTAGCCCCGCCCTAAGTCCAGCGGTTAACATTTAAACAAATTTGAATCTATGCTACCTGAGGATGCTTCAACAAGAGTTCCATTTTTCCTGGCCAAATGGTTCTGGAGAAGAAGATTTTTAAAAGATGTCATTAATTTTTCATCAATTCATAATTATCTCCCTTTGGAGAAAGGCTTGGCCCTTCATTTGAACAAACTTGCAACCACTCCATCCAAGAATACGTTGTGGCAAATTTGGTTGAATTGGCCTATTAGTTGTGAGAAGAAGATGAAAATCCAGAAAGTTAACGACGACGACTATAGCGACAACACCAAAGACAGACAATGAAAAAATTTTGATCGGTAAAGCTCACTTGAGCCTTTGGCTCAGGTGAGCTAAATCAAAAGAACAAAACAAAGAATGTGAATAGGTAAACTACAAATAATACTTTCAAGACCAAGATTAATTGATTAATTATATATTGTTTAACGTCCCTCTCAAGAGCAAGAGTGAACACAGAAATAAATAATAGAGAAACAAAAACAAACAAGATAAGTTTGTGAAACAATATGCACCCGGCGGCAACAAAGTTAAAAAAACATATATATTTAGCATAAAGGTCACAGTCAAGGTCACAAGGTCATTGATCTTGGTGTCATTTGAAAGAACGATTAGTGAATCGAAGTATGCATACCAAATATAAAGTCTGTATCTCTCATAGTTCAAAAGTAATGGCGGAGATTTAAAAAGGCTATTTTAGCATATAGGACACAGTCAAGGTTAAAAGGTCATTGACCTTGGTATCATTTGAAAGGGCTTAATCAGTGGTGCGTGAATGCCAAATATCAAGTCTCTATCTTTCATCGTTCAAAAGTTATAGCGAAGGTTAAAGTTTGCAGACAGAAAAGCTATATTTAGGATATAGGTCAAAGTCAAGGTCATAAGGTCATTGACCAAAGTGTCATTTAAAAGAGCTTAATCAGTGGTGTACGCATTCCAAATATTAGGTCTTTGTCTTATATGGTTCAAAAGGTATGGCGAAGGTTAAAGTTTGCAAAAAAACTATTTTTAGCATAAAGGTAACTGCCTAGGTCACAAGGTCATTGAACTTGGAGTCATTGAAAGAGCCTAATTGGTGGAGTATTCGTATTGAATATGAAGTCTCTATCATTTATGGTTCAAAAGTTATGGCGAAGGTTAAAGTTGCAGACAAACAGACAGACAGGACAAAAATAATATACGACTCGGATCTTTCGATCCAGGCGCATAATAATTTATAAACAAGCTCAGTAATATACCAGATTTGAAAGCTAAAGAAACTGAAGAAGCAATTTAATTAATTACATACCAGAAATGACTGCCTTTGTGGAACAGACGGGAACACTTTCCATTACACGTGTTCGCGTTATGCTTTTTCGGTTGTTTACAGGGTTCCTGTTTATCCAAGCATCGTCTTCAAATTAAATTCATTCAGAGTTAATAAAAACACACAATTAGAAAAAAAGAAATGCATATTGTTTCATAGGAACAATCTAAAATGTTATATGATTTTGGACTGTCGTAAAAGCTAAGTTCCTTAACGGTATATACTTTCCTTAAACGATAATGGCAAACCAAGAAATGAGATTATTCCTACCTTTATAACGTCAAATTGTTTATTTACATGTAAAGTAAAACTCGGTTATAGCGAAGTCCATGGGACCCGTGAATTTAATTTGCTACATGTATATCCGTAATTCGTTATATCCGTATAACGAATTCATATAACCATTAAAGCGAATTCGCAATATGCATGTTTTCCTTCAAGAGTCACTACCAAATATGTTAGGGAAGTAAATATTACAAAACATAATTTATTATTTTTAATAACTAATGTATCATTATGAATTGAATTTTATATATAAATGCTAAAAGGAAATAAAGTCAGTTCAATTTATCAATTTTTTAAATAATCTTTGAAAGTTTGTTAAAAACGATGTGAATTTCATTATATTTAACCTCAATGGTACTCAAAATCAGTTTGCTATATCCGTAAATTCGTTATATCAGAGTTCGTTATAACCGTAAAATTTTCTCAAAGATTTGTTAAGAATTTTACCGGGGACCCAGAAAAACTTCGCTATATCCGTGTTCGTACTAAACGAGTTTTACTGTATGTAGTAATACCGATATTCCATAATTGTCTGCATGTATGGTGTACATCTGCCTTTTGATTCGATACTTAATAGCATGGAACAAGTACAATCAATATTGATACAGACAGGCTACTGACACATAAACGTATGGAACAGAGATTTTAGCAATCTCTTTAGTATCTATTTAAAGTGGTCATCATAATGATTATGTTATCAAAAGAGATGAAAAATAAAAGAATGACCACCACAGTGATTTTTTGCCGCGAAAGTTCACTTAATATTACATTGCATATGCATTTTAGTTTTCAATTCTAGTGTGTCAATAAAATAGATAATTGGATTAAAAAGTTTAAGAATCTGTAAACAATAACCCATTCTTACTTTTGTAAATCAACTAGTTATTAATCGTTTAAATTCTTCATATTAATAAGACCTTAAAACATGATCATTTGCAAATTCTAAGATAAATACACTGTATTTCAAGATACTGGTACATGTAAAATGCAGAAAACTAGAATTTTCCCTGACTTGATAGTGAAATTTCCGTAATTTGTTTATAAACATAGTGAATTGAACATCAAAAAGCATAAATCATTTTTCACACTTATTGTGTCGCCTGTGGAGCAGCACTGATGGATCACTTTATACGGCGTCTGTCTCTCTGTCCGATCGAAAGTTTGTCCGTGTGTCACACCCTGCGCCTCAAGAAATGTAAGAGATGATTATGGACTTGTTGCACATTTATTGCTTGGCACTATTGTATTTGTCAATTGCTATGGATATTGAACTTGTGACCCTTGACCTTTGACTTACTTTACTAAAAAGTAAAGATACATGTTATTGACATAGAAGGGGTTATTCTATGCTTATAAGCATGATGCACTGATTGTGATAAAACATTATAAAAAATACTAGCGTCAAAATTCACTTGCTTGATTTTGACCTTTGACCTAGTTTACAAAGAATATCCCAAGACAATTTGATTTAACTTGAGACTATTGAAATGTGAGTGGCGGGTGCTGATAATTAACATTAATCAAAAGTATTTGATGAATCTCAAATACAACTGAAGAACAAATTATTTTAGGTTGAATTAGGACTATCTGTTATGAAATGCATATCTAGGTGCACAGTAGTCAGCTAGAAAAGTCAAGTTAAAAATTAGTCAATTTCTATAATTCATACATGTTTATGGACTCATAATACTTTTCTTTGAATTGTATGATATTCAGTTACCACACAAAATTATATTGACAGTGTAAATGTTATGAAAATACATCGGATGCTCATTCATCCATGATACCTGATCAAACCTCTGAGGTTTAAAATGTGCAAGTTTTTTTTGTATTGTGTAATGGATTTTTGTTCTGGAATACTGTTCGTCATCTTCATATGTTTCATAGACAAACACAATCACTTATTTAAAACGAAAACTAGAGGTACTGTGCAATGAGCTCACTAAATGATACCCCGCCTCCCAAATGAATAAAATGGCAGTGTCCATTTGTTTTGCTCTGTAAAATCCAAAATGTATGTCACATCAAAAAGTAAAATAGGAGGTGCACAATGGAAATATGTAATAAATTAAGATTCTGTGAAAGATTCATTGAATTTCCTTTAGTGGTATGAAAGTATTTGTGGATAAGAGATGGGTACCCCTAAGCGTGACAGACAGACGGACGGAAGGACGTACAGACGGACGGACGGAAATATCGATTACTATATACCCTCCCGCTTTTCAAACGGGGGGTATAATAAAAGTGTTTTGGTACCGGTTACGATAACCTACTGGTAGAGCGTTCGCTTCGTGATCTGGAGGTCCGGGTTCGATCGATCATCGATCGCGGCGCCGCGTCAAACCTAAGACGTAAACATAGGTATATAGTGACTGTTCCTTCGCCAAGCGCTCGGCACTAGAAGTGAAAGTAACGGATCTTTCTGAATGACCTTAAAAACGTAGGTTCCGTAACACGATATAACATTCACTGCTAAATGGCCCCAAGTGCCGAGTATAGGTCTAAATGTGAAGTCCTTCACCGACAAACGGTGTCGTCTCCATATGAGTGAAAGATTCTCGAGTAAAACGTTAAACAAAATACAATCAATCAACCAATCTCATAATGGCTCTCTCTGTTGTGACCATGGGCTGTGACATGTCAGACTATATAATTCACCACGTGATTTCGTACCTAAGGTAACTTCATGACTTGTAAGGTACAGTAGCATTCTTCACTAACTAGGATATTGTCCTCGAACACGTTGAAATATTAATCATCAATTTAAAATTCTCTTTACTTACATGGACGTATTCATATTGTTTATAACATTTTCAACCTTTATTAATATGGTATGCGTACCATACAGAATGAATAGGGAAGCGGGAAAGGGTGATTTCCAATATATCAGAGATATTATCTAGTTTAACTTTAGATAATTCTTTACAACGTCAGCTCCACCTCTGATGCATACCCTGGGATATATATATTTAATTTTCAATCAAGGGCAGGAAAGTTGAAATTCTTTGTAATTGGAGATCAGTAAGGACGAAAAATAACATAGAATTAGTTTATTGTATCACAGTCTGAATTTATTGATAACATTTAAATTTGGTGACAAAGTGTGACAGTTCTTAGTTATGACAGAAAGAAAGCGAGCGAGTGTAAGAAAAAGCAGCTTTTCCTTTTTTAAAACCACGAGCGCATGTTTGTCTATATATTTCCATTTAACACAACATTGATTATGCAAATATACAGCTATCATAAAGGAAAACAATCGACAAAAATGCGCTGACTAAGCATAATGTCAGTAAAAAAGTGGGCGTCCTCATTATCATACGGAGATTGAAGAAATGCATACTTTTATTCATTTTTATTAAATAAATTTATAGATTAGATGTTCATTTCTGTAATTGAAAGAAAAATGTCTGTTTTAAAAGTTTATATTTACCTTCTGAAGATAAGCCGGTTTCTGTTTCAAAGATGGAATCAAAATCGAAAGTCAATGAGTCTCTGATTCCACAATCTTCGTCTTCATGTGCATTTTGTAGAACAGTGTATCGATGACCTGAAAACACAATATCAGGAAAACATTAATTCCATTTTATTTTGAGTGGTTTTGGTTTTCTACCAACGAGTTTATTTACATTTTCCATCAAAAGCCTCCGCTCCGATCTTGATGTTATTGTTAAAATGGCATTGTTATCCCTATTTTAAAAGACATTACTTTGTACTTACTTATACCAATCTGCTGCATAACAGCACAAAAACCGATAGAGATCTTAAAACACTAAAGATAATACATAATGATAAGAAATAAAACATCTACAATAGTATCTAGTTATCGTTTTCTTTCATTAAATTTCTGTAAACCCATGTCGATTTTGGTGTGTTAAAAGAAGCAAATTTTTATTTTTTACATTATAATAGGGGATGTAGGAAACGAACGTATGTTTCAAATTAATTCGTTTTATATTTATACATGCATGAACATTGAATAAATACCTTGACAAGGTAAATGGCAAAAGCAATTAATTGCATGTGAAATCATTTGCATTACCTAACATTTCTTCACTGATTGTAGCCTGATCAAAGTTTTCAGTGTAATCAGCTGCAGAAGTTCGTGGAGAGGAAATATTCTCATAAACTATATCACTAGGAGTGATACCTGAAAAAAAGTTGTTATGCTATTTGTAAGTGTCTTTTTACATACATAATGATCAATTTTTGGAGGAATAAGAAAATTATTCTGTATAAGGATTAAAACTAACGCTCTATGGATAGCGTAAAGATAATAACGGTTGATTTCTTAGGGTTTAGACCGCGTACTTATGTACATAAATATTATACTCATGTAATTGATACTTTATCAGCTTTTTAGTTGACATTGCATGTTATTCACTCGGTCCTATATCTGTGAAACAGGGGCAAGCTGTTGGTTTTCCCAGAGTCCGTCCATTCGTCTTTCTAGCTGTTTGTCTGTCTGTGTAGGTGTTTGTCTGTTAAGCTGTCCGCCCTGCCGGTTGTCTGTCTATCAGTCTGTCTGTCTGATAAACTGTCTGATTTTTAAAATGCTTACTCCTCCATGGCACCTGATCCCACCTCTAATGTATCGGAGGTCCGTGTTTGCTCTGCTCCCACTCTGTATTGTTTTATGGAGTTCGATATTGAATACTGTTCGTTATCTTCATTTCCTTCATTGGTTTCCCACACACTTTATTTTCTAAATCCTTGTAGATACTGTAAATCATTACTTTGGAGGAGTCAGAATTTCGTGGTTTTGAGAAAATTTGTCGTTTTACGGGGATTTGAAGAATAGTCAAGTAGTAATATATGTCAAAAACTGACAATTTCGTGGCGGACACAATTTCATGAGTTTCTTCATACCTTGAACACCTCGAGAATTACCCCCCTCCCTGCGGAAACAAGTGATTTCACAGAATTAAGCAGATTTTCGGTTTGTACGTGTATCTTGATGAGTTACAGTTCAAGTTTGGATTTTGTTCTACTCCATAATTCTAATGGGACTTTGGCCACTTTATCTTTAAAGGGTTTTATGTAATTTGTTTTATAAACAGTTGCAAATATTAAGCTGTTTTTAAACTAATCATGCTGAAAATACGTGTTTGGTAATTATGTTCTTTTCCAGCGATGTGATCTTCTTTTACTTCAGTCGACTCCAGGTCATTTGATGAAGCTTCATTCAATTTTTCTAAAATAAAACATCAGTGTAGACAGATAAAGGATCTGTAACATATTGACTGACTTATGCTAATGTATGTATTAATAAAGACATTGAGTAATAAAACATCTCTCACCGTTCTCTTTGAATAGACCAAAATGTTCTTCATATGCTTTTGTCTTTAAAATAGTTCCTATTTCGAAACCTTCTTTCTGTCTAAATTTTATGCCATATTTTATCATCTTTTCATTTTCTTTCGATTCTAGATTTGATATTACATTCAAATGCTCTTGTATAATTTTCCAGCTTTCTAAGAGACATCTTTCACTTCCTAAAGAAAAGAGTTGATCTATGAGGTGAATAACGTTAGAAGCTTTGATAAGCTGTGTTTCTGTGTCCTTAATGGTGCAATCAAAGGTTTGTCTAAACTCTAAAGAATGATTTTGAAAATCTGTTTCAAGCTCTTTCTTTCTTGTTTTTAGGGTGTTATTTAAGGCTTCATATCTTTTGGTCATTTTCTCCATCGCTATACTGGCACTTGTATGAAACATTGTTTCCGCAGTTCTGTTTTCAGTTTGTTGTCTTTCTAACTTTTCCTTTTGGTGTAAGAGCTTTACGCGAATTTCTTTTATTTCAGATTTCATTTCTTCCACTGTTGTAAAGGAATGGGATTTGTCATGAATCTTTTTGCATTGTAGGCACAATAGACTATCACTATCACAAGTTGTACACAGAATAAACAGTGTTTGTCCTTTATGTCTCTCACATTTACAATTGTTCTCATCTATCAATTGGGAATTTTCCAAAATATTTATCGGACTTACATCATGATCTTGATGAAAGTGAGCATGGGCATTTGTACAACCATTACACATTCTTTTATCACAACGAGGGCAATAATGTGTAGGAATCCCTTTGCCTTCACAATGATAAGCAGATTTACAGAAATCATGATGTGATAAAAAATTGGGCCCACTACCTTCTGAAAACAAATCTATAAGCTGTCGAAGAATAAGGCTCTGTTTAAGGAATTTAGACCCCGATTTGCAAAAAACAAAAAGAGTTTTGCACATTGGACATCTGGCTGAATTCCCCGTATGGCTTACATTGAAATGTGTTTCTATACAGTCTTTACAAAAGACATGTCCACAACTTAAATGTTTGGGGTCTTGTAAAATCCCTTTACATATTGAACATGATAATATATCATTTCTGATTTTTTCAACAAAACAGCTTGGATCCATGTTTCCTTACACTCAACTGAAAGAAAAAAAAAAGAGGCTATATAAGAAATAAAATTAGGGGATCAACTGGAGTTTATTTGGGCCGATTAGGACTTTATTGTGTGAAAATTACAAAAGAGAAACTCTTACTTTCATAACACATTTAACTTACATGAACTTCAGTATAAGTGCTACGTTAGGGGAAAATCTACCGTCCAGGTATTTTTAGGGACCGTCTCAAAATACAGCTGCATTTACTATATACATGTAATTATATGGTAAAGTGCTGTTTTTTGCACTTTACGGCAAATTATGCAAATACTACAAGAACTTTTGCTCAAACTATAATTTATGATATGGAATAGTTTATTGTATATTATATTTATTAATCACAAATCAGTGAGTGTGAAAATTAGCGACATCAATCAACCAAACTTGTAAGAGATTTATTAGGACCCGACACTCCAAACCACACTATAAGTAGATAGGTTTTTTGCATAGAGCAGATTAATATCTGATTTGAATTATGCAAGTAGTTGTAGAGTGTTTCGGCTATTAAGAAGCCTCATCAGGGGTCACGGACATAAATCATGGTGTTTGTTTTAGGTGAGACCGGATTATCTCGTCACCTATATTCTTGTGTTTGCTGTAAGCAATGATTGGTTGAGAATTAAATAAAGTTTTGCATTCTGGATTTCTAAGAATGGTGTTCCAATATTTTAGAATTCGTTTTTTCAGTCCTTTAACGCAAGGGTTAAATTTAGTAACCAGTACTGTAGGGTTACGTAATGACTGTTCTTTAGTCTTTTTGATGATGAGTTTTGATCGGTTTGTGTTGACCGTTTCCTTGATAATAGGATCAATTTCCGAAGTAAAGTAGCCTCGCTTTGATAAGTGCGTCTTGAAGTCATTAAGTGTTGCATGTAATATTTCAGGGTCAGTGGTGTTTCTTGCATGTCTAATGCATTCTCCTTTAATGAATCCTTTAAACACAGCTGGGCTATGAGCGCTCTCTCTGTGTAGATACTGAAAATTATTTGTTGGTTTGATAAACGACTTGATATCAAGTTTGATAAAATTTTGAAATTTCTGTCCTTTATAAATTGTAGTATCAAGGAAGTTGACAGCAGATGGAGAAATTTCAAATGTAAATCTGAGATGCTTGTGACAGTGATTGCCGATATTAAAGAATTCTTCTATCTCTGGTTGCGTTCCATTGAATATTATGAAACCGTCATCACGGTATCTGCCGTGGAGGCATGACGAAATTGTGCCATTATAAGCTTTGTGATTTGATACATTCTGATGTCACAGATCTCTGGACTGGGGACTGCCCCCATACTTGCTCCTATTATTTGTTTGTAATATTTTCCGTCGAATTCAAAGTAATTGTTTTCCAAGACGCATTTCAGTAAGAAGTTTAGATCCTCAGGGTCCGGATATGGAATGTCTAATTGCGTTTTATTGGCCTGTGTGTAAGCCTCATTTACTGATGAGAGAAGTTCGTTGAATTCCATGTTTGTGTACATGTTCGTCACATCATAAGTAATTAATAATGCGTTTGTTGGCAATGTGAGGCGTTCGATTTTGGTGATAAAGTCCGTAGTGTCTTTGATATAAGTTGATTGTTTTTGTACAATGGGTACAAAAAGTAATCGCAATATTGTCCTATTTTCCTCGTTGGCGTATCGCATTGCGAGATAATTGGTCTACCAGGTGGTAATTTCCTAATGCTGCACTGACCGTTTATTAGAGCATTGTAAATGTTTGCTGGTATTTTGTGGGTTTTCGGTAAGAGGTACAAATGCCCACATTTGAGTGAAGGTTTTTTGTCATTAAGAAATTTGTAAGTTTCTTTGTCCAGTGACCCATTTGAATGCATTGCGGCAAGTTTATTTTGAATGTTTTCATGCAGTTTGAGCATGTTGGGTTCAGATACTTGCATATAGTGTTTAGATTGCAGTTGGCTTTGTGCTTCTAAGACATACTGGTCTTTGCTCATGATGACAATTGTGTTGCTTTTATCTGCTTTTTTAATAACAATGTTGTTATTTTTAAGAGATAAAATAGCTTCTCTTTCAGCATTTGAGATGTTTGATCTCTTTTTTGCAATTTCCAAAGAGGAAAGTTCCAATTTTGTTTTATCTATATATTCCTCGAGTTCGCTGCATGTAAATGGCGGTTTGTAGCCAGATTTTGTTTTAAAGGGGTGAATGGCATTGTCGTCTCCGGTATCAAAGTGGAATTTGCATCTGAGTTTCCTTGCAAATTCTTCAAAATCTTTGAGCAGCAGGCTTTTAGCATTGTCGCTTTTAGGCGTTGGAATAAATTTTAAGCCTTTGCTTAGAACTGAGAGTTCATGTTGGGATAAGTTGTATCTTGATAGATTTAGAACAAACTTTCCCCCTGTGGCCGTAGTTTCCTTGCAGTGATCTTTAACTCCCCGTAAATAATTACGAGTGCGTTTAGCATTTTTGCATTGTTTACTCCGTCTATTTATTCGTCGAGCCATTCAAATAGAGGAGCAGTAGGTGGTAAATATATTGTATATAGCGAGGCGCTATAGATCAACAATGAGTATTTCGATGAGATTATGAATCCGTCTAATTATCAATAAGTGTTGATAGATTAGAGGATAAGAAGAGTATGTGGCTATAAGAAACCGATAGTCAGATTCCGATGATTCGTTATGGTCACGTGCAAGGGGCGGTGTTTGTTGAAGAGCTGGTCCAATGGGTGGCTAATGCACACCAATTTTATAGTAATTAAATCCTGTGGATCTTAAGCCGTCTGATATACATAGTGTCATAAAATGAGGCTAAAATAAAGATCCGTCTTAATATCATATGATGATAATAAGAGGATTAATATTGCACATGACTGTCCAAATCCTGAATGAATTCTTCCTGGTTTAAGCTGATCTGGTCCTTCAATATATCCTAGTATTCACAATCTGATATTCTCGTTGTTTTCTTGCATTGGTACAAAGTAATTGAATGAAGGGCACTATTGTATGTGTATACTTGAGCAAGCCGAAGTATTTGATTATAAGAGAAGCGTAAAAGAGATCTTTGATGTTCAATCCTTTACAAACATGTGCTGATTTGGTAAAGGAAGTGCTGGTAATAAAATGTCTTAGAAGACAATAGAAGCAAAGAGTGTGGCCGGATTGTTGGATGACCAAATAAACCACACAAGTCGATCGCTGTCCAAGGGAGGGCGATGCACGGGATGATGCCGGTGGGACATTGTCCCTAGTCAAAGTGTGAAAATTAGCGACATCAATCAACCAAACTTCTTGTAAGAGATTTATTAGGACCCGACACTCCAAACCACACTTTAAGTAGATATGTTTTTTGCATAGAGCAGATTAATATCTGATTTGAATTATGCAAGTAGTTGTAGAGTGTTTCGGCTATTAAGAAGCCTCATCAGGGGTCACGGACATAAATCATGGTGTTTGTTTTAGGTGAGACCGGATTATCTCGTCACCTATATTCTTGTGTTTGCTGTAAGCAATGATTGGTTGAGAATTAAATAAAGTTTTGCATTCTGGATTTCTAAGAATGGTGTTCCAATATTTTAGAATTCGTTTTTTCAGTCCTTTAACGCAAGGGTTAAATTTAGTAACCAGTACTGTAGGGTTACGTAATGACTGTTCTTTAGTCTTTTTGATGATGAGTTTTGATCGGTTTGTGTTGACCGTTTCCTTGATAATAGGATCAATTTCCGAAGTAGAGTAGCCTCGCTTTGATAAGTGCGTCTTGAAGTCATTAAGTGTTGCATGTAATATTTCAGGGTCAGTGGTGTTTCTTGCATGTCTAATGCATTCTCCTTTAATGAATCCTTTAAACACAGCTGGGCTATGAGCGCTCTCTCTGTGTAGATACTGAAAGTTATTTGTTGGTTTGATAAACGACTTGATATCAAGTTTGATAAAATTTTGAAATTTCTGTCCTTTATAAATTGTAGTATCAAGGAAGTTGACAGCAGATGGAGAAATTTCAAATGTAAATCTGAGATGCTTGTGACAGTGATTGCCGATATTAAAGAATTCTTCTATCTCTGGTTGCGTTCCATTGAATATTATGAAACCGTCATCACGGTATCTGCCGTGGAAGACAATTTTGCTGGCATGACGAAATTGTGCCATTATATGCTTTGTGATTTGATACATTCTGATGTCACAGATCTCTGGACTGGGGACTGCCCCCATACTTGCTCCTATTATTTGTTTGTAATATTTTCCGTCGAATTCAAAGTAATTGTTTTCCAAGACGCATTTCAGTAAGAAGTTTAGATCCTCAGGGTCCGGATATGGAATGTCTAATTGCGTTTTATTGGCCTGTGTGTAAGCCTCATTTACTGATGAGAGAAGTTCGTTGAATTCCATGTTTGTGTACATGCTCGTCACATCATAAGTAATTAATAATGCGTTTGTTGGCAATGTGAGGCCTTCGATTTTGGTGATAAAGTCCGTAGTGTCTTTGATATAAGTTGATTGTTTTTGTACAATGGGTACAAGAAAGTAATCGCAATATTGTCCTATTTTCCTCGTTGGCGTATCGCATTGCGAGATAATTGGTCTACCAGGTGGTAATTTCCTAATGCTGCACTGACCGTTTATTAGAGCATTGTAAATGTTTGCTGGTATTTTGTGGGTTTTCGGTAAAAGGTACAAATGCCCACATTTGAGTGAAGGTTTTTTGTCATTAAGAAATTTGTAAGTTTCTTTGTCCAGTGACCCATTTGAATGCATTGCGGCAAGTTTATTTTGAATGTTTTCATGCAGTTTGAGCATGTTGGGTTCAGATACTTGCATATAGTGTTTAGATTGCAGTTGGCTTTGTGCTTCTAAGACATACTGGTCTTTGTTCATGATGACAATTGTGTTGCCTTTATCTGCTTTTTTAATAACAATGTCGTTGTTATTTTTAAGAGATAAAATAGCTTCTTTTTCAGCATTTGAGATGTTAGATCTCTTTTTTGCAATTTCCAAAGAGGAAAGTTCCAATTTTGTTTTATCTATATATTCCTCGAGATCGCTGCATGTGAATGGCGGTTTGTAGCCAGATTTT